AATTTAAAATTTAAAATTATTTACCTCCTTTGGGTCAGGCACCTCCAACTTCGTTTCCGATGGTGCTTTAACCGCTATGACGGTTTGGTCTTTTAGGCTCTTTATTCTTCGGATGTCCTGATAGGTCACATAGGCATATGTGAGAAAGGTTAAGGACAGGGAACAGGGAATTACTACCATTCCTTTTAGCGCTCTCATTTTCTGGTCTTCAGTGACCATTACACACTTGAGAAATCACAGCTGACTGCTAGAGTAAAGGATATTGCTGACTGTGGATCTCCTCAGTCATCTGCTGGACGTTTCGTGTGCAGGTCTGAATGAGCTCATCCAGACGTCTCTCCTCCTGAGTGAGCGCCAGCATCTCTCTGGCCAGGCTGTGACTCGGCATGGCTGGAGATGGAAGCCCACCCTCTGACGGCAGACTGGAGCCCCTGCAAACACCGCGGCAGAAGTCAATGCTTAAAACTCTACAAATCTAAAAGGTGCTACTAGGAGCTCAAATCTACTAAACGTCCAAAAGAATCAGCGGTGCTTAATGCAAACCACACTTTTAAGTAACCCACAGCCATTGTATGTTGTTCTTTGACTTCTTCTTGATGAGGAGCACCCCCTCCAGCACGTTGGTGATGTCATACAGACGTCTCTTCTGGACGTTGAGCACAATGGCGGCTTTATTGAGATCCAGCACTCCATCGGTGGACTGCGCCAGGAGCTGACAGAACTTTTTAGTCAAGAATCCCAAGGACGTGTCGTATCGGGTCTTCTCCGGTGTGGTTTTGGGAGCTGAAATGTAAGAGGTCGTTCAATCATTCATAACTCTGCAGCAGAAGGAAGGAGGGCTGGTTGGTGATGTAATTAGATGGTATAACTTAATATAGGTGGCTCTACACACTTATCACATCAGCAAAACCGTGGAATGACAGAACGAACGTAATACCTTTGGGGACCTTCAGTTTAAGAGCTCCTTTGCGACTCCGAAGGGATTTAGCTGGTTCGCTGTACTGGTGGTCTGTGATGTCCAGCTCCAGCCTCCTTTTAGCCTGCGTGAAGAAAATATGAAAGGTGGCCACTGAACCCTTTTAGTCATACACAGGTTTGTGTGAATCTTTCAGGGTTATTTGATCACATAATAAAAACTACACATTTCAAAAGCACAGAAATGCTAAAAAGTCCTCATTTTAAGAACAGAACGTGTGCATTATTCATTGCAAATACTGAATCCCTCACTTACGTTACTTGGAACAGTTGGCAAAATTATTGGGTGGTAAATGACAAAATATGCCAATATATTGTCTGTGGCCATTAAAAAGTACCTCCCCCCTCATCTCGCATAAAAATCAGATGTTCGTTTTACCTAATAATACAACACTTGAAGTCAACGAACTAAGACCAGGGGGAAGCAAAATGGCAGTCCTCTATTACCAAAGCCTTAAAGGGTTTAGTTCACCCAAAAATTCTGTCATTAATTACTCACCCTCATGTCGTTTCAAACCCGTAAGACCTTCGTTCAACTTCGGAGCACAAATTAAGATATTTTTGATGGAATCTGAGAGCTGTCTAACCCTGCATTGACAGCAACGCAACTGAAATGTTCCAAAGTCCAGAAACGTAGCAAGTAGATCGGTAAAATAATCCATGTGACATCAGGGGTTCAACTGTAATATTACGAAGCTATGAGAATACTTTGTGCGCAAAACAACAACAACAAAAACGACTTTATTCAACAATTCGTCTTCTCCGTGTCACCCTGTAGCGCCATTTTGGTGAGTATCAGCTGGACGTAAACAACATATGCTGTTCTGTGTCAGCTGCGTCACACGGATACGCTGTTTTTGTTCAGACCAAAATCACAACAACGTAAGAAACGGGTCCGGCGTGAGGATGATTGAACCCCACATGGATTATTTTACCGATCTCCTTGCTACATCTCTGGACTTGGGAACATTTCAGTTGCATTGCTGTCTATGCAGGGTCAGACAGCTCTCAGATTCAATCAAAAATATCTTAACTTGTGTTCCGAAGATGAACGAAGGTCTCACGGGTTTGAAACGACATGAGGGTGAGTAATTAATGACAGAATTTTCATTTTTAAGCGAACTATCCCTTTAAACTCAGTGACCACCGAGAAACGTACAGTACCACTGACCCCGAGATAATTATAGATGTAGTCGAGATCTATTTTTTGCGTTTTGCATGTTGCAAAAATACTGCTGTCATCATTACATGTTAAATAGGAAATACAGTTTGATGTCATAAGCAGCACACTTTTAAAGTGCTGCACAAAAGCGCACACGCATTGCAACTTGTTTAAATGTATAAATGAAAAGCATATTTTGTAGTTTAGGGGGTAAATAAAAGAAAACAAAAAAGTACTTTATTACTTTAAAAATGGTTTGATCTTAAAATCAGATTTGCTGAATTTAAGGCACTACATGTTAAGTTATAACTTGACATGTCTCTTTACAAAAGAGACAATAGATTCATTACGTGGTAAACTTATACATTTTACATGGAAAAAAAATACCCACAAACAAATTGTAAGCCTAAATTCCATATTTTTAAACACCTCAAAAAAAAAAAATCGCAATTATTAACTTGTTTTATATCAGCATTACATTAACAATAGAAGGCTGCTAGTTGTATATTTAGCCTCACAAGTTTATGATTAATATTCACAATATAACTGAGTTAATCTTATGATATTTTATTAGTTTTATAGCTGTTCCTTCATTCGCCTTTATCTCCTTTTCCCAACCTTTTTTTCACTTGCAATTCCCTTCAGTTTTGCATTAATCGTTTTCAAATAGAAAAAAACTCAAATTAAGTCAGAAGATGTAACGTTAATTGCTGTATTGTTTCATGTCCTGAAACCTATAAAACTAAAAGTGTGATCTCTTGATGAACCGTTTCAATTGGGATCATATGAACACCATCGACCTCGCGTATGTCAAATTACTTCGTAAACAGATGCCAGTCAGGAGTTTTTGCAGTAAATAACGATTACCAAAAAAAACAAGTTAGCAAAGCATTTGGCTTAGCACAGAGTCCGCCAGCTCAGAAATGACTCCATCCCCCATCCTCCCGAGACAACAAGCCCAGGCCTAGACTCCAACTCAAGCGGACTCTTAACACTTATTAGACCAAATCTAGTCGATATTGCATTATATATTATCTTTATGAGATCTATAAAAAGCGATTTACAGCAGCAGCCCTCGAGCTTTCGAAGAAAACTTTAAAAGGTGTGCAACTGGAAAACCAACCGAGTTACAAACATTACACTATTGTCATTTTATGTTAAAAACAACATGCATTACAGCATCGTGTCTGCTACACTTACGGTTCAATCGTAAAAACAGCAGGGACTATGTTGCAGAAATGTGCATGGGTCTGTTTGTTGTAAACAATTAGCATGCGTCTTACGCATTTTTGGGGGAAATTCAATAAAGGTCTTAATGAGTTAAGTATCTAAAACGTGCCGATTAGTTTCGCACGATAAACCTGCCTGCTCCAGATACTGAATGCACACGAAGCAGCTCCAGCAGTAGCCATGATGACAGCAGAAGTAGGCTAAGTGGACTTAGCCTAACGACTTAACATTAACAGGATTGAATGGGCAACACTTAAACACAGAATCATAGCAGACACTTACCGGTGGTCGTCCTAGTGTGGGTCGCAGTCCTGTCCCATGTGTCGCTCCTTGTAGAGGAGTTGTGTACAAGCTGTCCGCAGAAGCCTCGGGCACACTGACATTATTAGTGGACGGCGGTGTGTTTATTTGAAAACGGGCTGCACTGGAATAAGCTGCACACCGTCGATCGGAAACCGCGCTAAAAACACCGTGTTGTTCACCTCTAACAACCCCCGTTAACATGACTTGTCCTGGGACCGAGGAACCCCCCTTTCTCATGATCCTCAGAGGCGCAGGTTCCCCTTTGTCCCACTTGTGCTTTGAGGCTCGTTTTCTGTCAAATCCGAGCGGGAGGATATAAAATAATCATAAATGATGAAAGCACACAGTGTTAGGAATGCATCGCTGTAATATGAGTGAAATTGCTCAAGCCTAAGACACCCGATGTAAGCGATTAAAATGCGATGCAAACTCCCTCTCGCTAGAGCGAAAAATGGCTCCAGGAAGCGGACAATGAAGTAGGGGATGAGGTTTGCGCGCGCGAAAGGTACTCCCGCGAAACTCAGATTTCCCGGGAAATATTTAAAAAAGATTTGCATGTGCGAAATCATTCGCCAGCACCGTTCTGTTCTCCGCCCTCAAGTGCTGACGCGTAGGTATAGTGGAGCCAATGAACACGCACGATGGCGGATTGTTTCTTTTTTTTTCTTTTTTCTTTTTAAGTACACCAGTTTGTCCTCTAGAGCGCGCTAGATATCCGACACATTCTGACTGCACTTGATAGGTTATTTTAAAACGGGAAAATAAGCCTAAATCTGTTCTCCGCCCTCAAGTGCTGACGCGTAGGTATAGTGGAGCCAATGAACACGCACGATGGCGGATTGTTTCTTTTTTTTTTCTTTTTTCTTTTTAAGTACACCAGTTTGTCCTCTAGAGCGCGCTAGATATCCGACACATTCTGACTGCACTTGATAGGTTATTTTAAAACGGGAAAATAAGCCTAAACTTAGATGTTTTAATATGAATTCTAAAAGAAAGATGCACGATACACGTAATTAAGCATTAAGCAAAAAGTACACAAATCTAAATAAAAATAAACATGTTTAAAACATTCAAATAAGTTTAACAATCGCACCCGAGTGTTAGTTATCCATAGCTAAAAATAAATAAATATAATATTTTATTTTGGTTACTTGCCAGGGCAACATTTCTAGTATTAAAATTACTAAAACAAAAATAAACTAACAATTTAAATGTAAAATAGGCATATTTAATACACAACTAAATTACTATTAATTCAACTTTAAAATAAAAAAGGAAAATATAAACTAATTCAAAATTATCATTAATTACTAGAAAATAATTGAAACAATACTAAAATTACACAGAGGCACTTTATTTCAAATCTTCTTTCCACCACCTCAGGATTATAATATGGGCAGAGAATCCGTGTGTACAGTTTTAGAAAACCTTAAAACTGGCCTACAGAAGAAAAACAAATGTATTACAACTTCTGAAATACAAATTGGCCATACTGTAGGGTTAACACTACTCAGTACATGGAAATCTGAAGTTGTACAGTTGAAAAAAAATGAAACTGTGTGGGGGGAAAAATGTGTAACAATTAATAAAAAACACTTTTTCCACAGTTTTATCTATGAGAGATATATATTAGACACGACAGGAAATTCACATTGGCTTTGAACATTGCAAGGAAACAAAGAACAACTGTGTTTTACTACAAATTCACAGTAAATAGTTTAACAGGAAGTTTTTTGTATGTTTTAAAATATAAATGCATCAAATGAATTTGAGCAGATTCTTCTTAATCATCATCATCATCAAATCTGATCTTTTTCCCTTGGAACGCTGTGATTTGTGCCTGCTGTTCTTTTCTCTTTCTGCTAGCCTCCCAAGAGGGATGAAGGGACTGCTGGGGTGGATCTGACATCCTGCCAGGTGGACCTCTGGGATTCCGCTTCTGCTCAAACTGTGGCCTTCCCCTTCCTGCCCCCGAAGGTCCCGCTTGCCTTTGTCCAGCAACTTTAAAAGTCTGTCTGTTGGGATTGAATGGACCCGTCCTCCTGTCAGCGCCAAGGTCTTTATACTGAGCTGCTATACCCTCAGGACCTTTCCTCTGGTTCTGGAATAGAGAAGGTCTTGCGCCGTCATCTCGAGAGCCAAACTTTGCTTTCTGGGAGGACACGCTAGATTTGGACAACGCTGAGCAAAAGACAGACTGTAATTTGCCAAGGTTTGTCTCATGAGGTTTGCTGGCGGCCTCCTTGTCAGTTTTTTGAAGCTCACTCTTTTTCTCCTCAACTTTCCCTTGGTTACTTTTCCGTTTCTTGAATTTGCTAACTTTGCCCAGAAAGAAGTCATCATCATCACTCTCTTCAGACTGAGACGACTGCTTATGGAAACGTTCCTCTGTGCTGTCGTCGAAATATTCCTTCTCTTCCTCCTCATCTGATAAATCACTCTCTTCATCGTCCTTTTCTACCTCAGCCCTCTTGGTCTCAGGTAGGTCTTTTTTCTTTTGTGGCTTTAAGGTGGTCTCAGTTTCTTTGCTTGCTTTACCAGCATTCTTCTTGCTTACAGTTGAAGACTTTTCAGAAGAACTTTGGACATTTAAAGCCGTGGCCTCTGCTTTCTGGGATTTCATTTCGACCCTTTTGGATTTTTCTGAAGATGTTGTGATGATCTTGGATGGTGGCACCTTTACAAGATCAGAGTCTGTACTTTCTGTGAGCTCTGCAACACTAGACTTATGGATCTCAGTGATAGGACTGTTCAATTTTTCCTCTGCCACATCACCATCCTCCTCACGGTCATCACTGTTGTGGTCACCCTCTGGTTCCTCATGTTCCTCCTCCGGTTCCTCATCTTCATTCTTGGACTGCACCATATCCAGTCTGTCAGTCTTTTTCTGCTCAGCTTCAGCAGCCTTTGCTTTTTCTTCTTTGACCTTCTGGTGCTTGTTGATGAAGCGAGAATGTGTGGCGATATGTGCAATGGCTCTGTCCACTGGGCTTGCCTGAGGGTCCTGCAAAATCTTATCAAAGTTAACATTCTCCTCAAGTGCGGTCATGGTGACCTGATCTAGTTTAAGGCTCCTTAAAGCCTTGATTTCTTTCATGATTTCTGCTGCTCTTTCTTGGCTTTCCTTCACCTCAGATTCCTGACCTTTCTTCTTCTTCTTCAGAGCAGCCACTTGCTCTGCCATTTTACTGATGATCAGCACCCTCGTCCTCTTCACTTCCTTCCTCATCCTGATCACCTCCTCTGGGATGGCCACAGTTTCAGATGATTCCTGTAAGAGGCATTTATTTCAGAATAACCTTCATGTAAAGAGTACTTTAGTGTAATACGGTTTACAGCAAGAGTGAATAAAAGCATCAATTTCAATGGAATAATTCATCTATAAAGGAACATTCTTTCATTATTTACTCATCTTCATTCCAAAACTGCATTCTGTTGTTTTGCAGTTGAACACCAAATTGAATTCTGAAGCATGTACCTCAGTTTTGGGGTCACGGTTCTGTATGATTTCAGTACAGCAGAGAGAATCTGTCCTGTTTTTGTTTTGTTTTTATAAAGAGAAGCTGCAACATTTTTATTGTGAAGGTTCTCATCTGCACTGTGAATTCAATTAAACTGCATCATCATAATCGTTTAACCTTAATCTAAGGCTCTGACAGTGCAGTGGCTTAGGTATGTTGAAAAGATGCTTAAATCCAGTGTTCTCTGTGAATGAGAATGATCACATACACTACCATTTGGGTTGTCCCTTTGTTCGCAATTTATTTAATCAAAAACACAGTGAAAATAACAATACTCTGAAATATTATTACAATTTAAATTAACTCTTTTCTATAAGAACATATTTTAAAATGTAATTTAGGTCACACTTTAGTTTAGGGACCAATTCTATTCCAACTTTGAAAGGAATAGTTCACCCAAAAATGAAATTTCTGTCATTAATTACTCACCCCGATGCCGTTCCAAATTCATAAGACCTTTGTTCATCTTCAGAACACAAATGAAGATATTTTTGATGAAATCCGGGAGCTTTCTGACCCTGCATAGAGAGCAACGCAACTACGTAAGGACATCGTTAAAATAGTCTTAAAACTTTTTTAAAACTTTTTGTGCGCAAAGAAAACAAAAATAACTTTATTCAACAATTTACTCTCTCTCGTGTCAGTCAACGTGATGTTTTGTTTTCTTTGTGCACAGAAAATATTCTTGTAGCTTCATAAAATGAAGGTTGAACCACTGATGTCACATGGACTGTTTTAACAATGTCCTCCTTTACTATGTTTCTGGGCCTTGAATGTGCTAGTTCCCTTGCTGTCTATGCAGGGTCAGAAAGCTCTCGGATTTCATCAAAAATATTGTAATTTGTGTTCCGAAGATGAACGAAGGTCTTACGGGTTTGGGACGACATGAGGGTGAATAATTAATGACAGCATTTTCATTTTTAGGTGAACTATCCCTTTAACTTCATCTTTTGCCACAAACTCCTAATTTGCTGCTTAGAAATAGTTAGTCAGGTAGTTGTTAAAGGCACAATTTATTTTTTATAAAAATATCCAAAAAACACTAGAACAGTTTTATATATTTTGCTGACTTGCGTACTTACATTATCCCAAATGTTTCAAAGAATGTTTAAATCCAGAGAAAAAAAACAATTTTAACTAGTGACACGGACCGTGTCCATAGTGTCATTGTGTCGCCTGCTAATGACGTAATAACCCCTCGATTTCCGGTTTTGTTTTGTAGAAAACATGGAAACACCAAAGACGCTTTAATATGTTGAGCGTTTTAATAGACCGGTGACGAACGTTCAAATGTATCTAGTATGATAAAACAGCGCTGCTTACTTTTTTCCGGAAGGAGCGGAAGCGGTCGACTGTGGCATAATAAAAGCTCCGCTGCTTTCGAGCCGTGTGTCGCGCTCGTTCAGTGGCGTCATTTTGCTCCGACAGCTTTCAGCCTCACCCTGCTTCATACTACGCCGTTAATAAATCTTTAATACATTAGCTCATCCATGAACATGATTTCTGCCCGAGTCCCGTCGGATTGCTTTGGCTGTGGGGATGAGGGCGACAACTCCCATGATTCCACACTCAGTCACGGCGTCATCTAACTACGCCTTTGTTTCTTTGTTTGTTTTGAATACGCGCCCTCTAGTGGCAAAAAATTACATATTGTGCCTTTAAGTTTAGGTATGGGGCAGGATTTAGGGTTCTAAAATATGGTCATGCAGAATAAGGCATTAATGTGTGCTTTATAAATATTAATAAATAGCCAATATGCTAGTAATGTTGCTAATAAGCAACTAGTTAAAAGTGAGAATTGGTCCCTAAACTAAAGTGTTGCCATAATTGATTCCTGTGATGACAAAGCTGAATTGACAGCGTCATGTGTGATCAGTGTCACACGATTGATCCTTCTGAAATCATTCTAATATGCTGACTTGCTGCTCACGAGAATTTTTTATTATTATCAACTTCGAAAACAGTAGTGCTGCTTAATATTATCGGGGAAACCATGATGCATTTTTTTCAGCATTTTTGATAATAGAAAGTTCAAAACAACATTTGATTTTGTATTAGTTTTTTTTTGTAACAAATGCCTTTAGTCACATTTAATCAATTGTATGGATCCTTCCTGTATAAAATTAATAATGTAATTAATAATAATAATAATATTGAACGGTATTGTGTCTGGATTAGACTATACTTGACTAGAAAAAGTGAATGTGAAGAAAATAAATGTTGTGTTTTAAAGTGTTTTTTTTTTGTGTTTCAAAAAAAAAAAAAAAGGTTTAAATCTTGTTTTCAGTATCAAATCCCAGGTTTCAAATATCCTGTTTTATTACATGTAAGCAAACATTTATTTTCAGGTATAGTTTCAAATTTTCTGGTTATTTTTGGACTTTGGCCTCATTTTGTTGTGGGAATATGAATATGGAAATTGGCCATGGTAATCAAATTTAATTAGTTAGATAATGGCACTCATCTATCAACAGTGTTGCCAGATTATAGTAACGTTATTGTCATGGTACACATACACATCTTACCTAACACAGCATGTGTAATGGAGCAACGTTTGATTTGAAAGAGTGCAGAAAGAAATATTTTCAGTGAGTATTGACTATCAGTCTCTTCTCCACACAAATCTATCATAAGACATCAGAAGACGAGAGAAGATTGTGTGAAGATTCTCCTTTTGTGTTCCACTGACAAAATATCAACATATGCATTTGAAGCAACATGAGGTTTATTCATTTTGCGTGAACATGAAACATTATTTCAAGAATTTGTGTTACTGTATAATGAGATACAGTGTGTTCTATTTGGGAAGTAACATGTAGTCATAGCTTTTATAGCTTTGACCAATTATTTCACCTGTACTCAACCTAAAATAAAATCATTTCACAAACACCAGTTAAAATACACTTACCTCAACTGTTAGGGATTCTTCATTCTGGAACAGACTGGTCTGTTCATCTGTTGTCTCTAAACTCGTCTTCTGGGTCTCCTGTGAAGAAACATCAATCTCCTTTTGCCTGTCTTCTTCTGTCTTTTTATCACCCTCATCCTCTTTCAGTTTCTCATCATCAACTTCATCGTTTGATTTCTCTGAACCCACATCATCATCGCTGTCTGCTTGTGCATTTTCTGCATTGCTTTTTGCTTGTTTTTCTGGATTTAATGCATTTATTCTCTGTTCTTTGAAGGCTTTGATGGCTGCCTTTATGCTCTGGATTTTCTTGCTGAACTGTGGGTGCGTGGCGATGCGGGCGATGACCCGTTCGGACAGGCTGGCCTCTTTATTCCGGCACACTTTCTCAAAGCTGATGTCCTTCTGTAGGGCGACCTTGGTGACGCTGTCAGACGTGACAGCTTTCAGCTCATGGATCTCCTCCCGAAGTCTAGCTGCTCGCCTGCGGAACTTCTCCAAGTCTGCCTCACTACCTTTCTTCTTCTCCAGGACTGAGATCTGTCGGATGAGTTTGCGGATGAGAAGCACCTTCACCCTTTTAACCTCCACCCTCATTTTGACCACCTCATTGCTGAGGTTCAGTGCTGTAGGCATCTTTGTGTGCGTTCTGAAAACTGAACTGAGAAAAGCAACAAGTCGTGTAAGTGTGCTAATGAAAGGTGTTTATTTATTTATTTATTTTTATGTTTTGATATGTTTTAACATCATCCTCATTAAACCGTGCAATCTTAACATTTTCAATTTCAGTGATTGGCTGTTACATGCTCACAAATACTACCACTACAAATACAAATATATATATATATATATAAATACTAACAGTAAATATAATAAAATTTACCATTTTCTATTTCAGATAAATTATCATTTACCTGGAATATAAATATTTTGCAACATTATGAATGCCTTTACTGTCACTTTTGTTCAATTTAATGCATCTTTGCTGAATAAAATAAAAAAAGGCTGTATGTATATATATATCTTTCATTTCTTTCAAAATGAAATAAATAAAAATCTCACTGACCCCAAGTTTTGTTTTGAACTGTAGTATACCTAGACTAGTCTTAACTAGAAAAAAAGTAACAGTAAACCAAACAAATGTCATTGAAAGTTCTTTATTTATTTATTTATATTAAGATTTTTAACGTTTCAAATCTTGTTTTCAGTATAAAATCACAGGTTTCAAATATTATTTTAATATTATAATCAATTATTATTATTTTAAGTAAAAATCTATTTTCAGTTGTACAATTTAAAGAAATTTTTTTTACTTTTTTTTGGCCACATTTGTTGTGAGAATGTGGAAATATATTTGCATAATATTATAATATATGTATAGATATTGTGACAGTAAGATATTTAATACATTTTAAGTAAATATGACTGAATTTACATATTACGTACAATGTACAGCACAGTGATCATAATGTCATAAAAACTAATGCTGAAAAAGTTTTTCCATAAATGCAATATATATATGATTTAACATTCACATCAATGCAATCAAATGGCCAATGTTGTGTAGGCCTACGTAATGTTTATTAAAACTGAGTACTGTGCAACGCAAATATAATGACCAGAATCGTGAAATCTGTGAGCGACTTACTGCTGGCCGATTTCGTGCTGGAGTTCAGGTTCGAGTACCTGTGGCCTTTCTGGCTTTTCATCAGGAGCGTTTACGATTCCTTTAGATATCAGGGACTGGTGAGTATTTGACTCGGTTCTTTGTAAATCAGCATTGTATACCTCTTTGAATGACATGTTTTACACAGGTTAAAATCGATCATCTCTACACGTCTCGTCTGATTCCACAGGCGTTCTCCGTGTTCTTTGTGTGTGTCGCATTCACATCAGACATCATCTGCCTCCTGTTCATCCCCAAGCAATGGCTGTTCTTCGCCGCCAGCACGTATGTCTGGGTACAGTACGTGTGGCATACAGGTAGGTCAACATCGCTCAAGCCCCGTCTGACATTCCATGAGTATCTTTTTAGGAGTAAAGCTGCTTACACTCTAGAGTTGATTGAATTTCAGAGAACACTAAGAATCCGTTGATTGGATGTGGATGGTGCATTTGCAGAGAACGCATGGGAGAAATGTGTTTGCGAGAGCAGTGCTCTATCATGTAACCAAAAGTTAGGCGTCCATTCACCAATGAAAACTGCAGACACGTTTATCCAGCTGTGTTTTCAGAAACCCAATTGACTGTTTTCTGTTTCATTTGTTCCACATTTCTGTCCATGAAATGATCTGTCGGAAGTTTTGCTAGCGCCTAAAACCTTTGTCGCTGATTATTCAGGGGCATAATTCAGGAGCATTCTGCTAAATATTACGCAACCGTTCACTTTTCTGCCAGTTAGTAGAGAGGGAGATGTTAAAAGGGCTTTTCTTATGCAAATGATACCATTTAGATCTCTCTGGATAGTCCTTTATCTTGAATGTGTTTGATGATTGCATAAAAGAAAAATATGAGCAAGTGGTATCTCTTTTTTTTATTTTTTATTTTTTTATTTTTTCCCCCCAAAGCACTTGTTGGTGATTGTTTGATATCATAGTTTATGTACAGTACTGTTCAAAAGTGTTTTGTTTTTTTACGTGATCAAACATACAGTAAGACAGTGATCTTATGAAATATTACAATTTAAAATAATCTATTTGAATACGTTTTAAAATGTAATTTATTCCTGTGATCAAAGCTGAATTTTCAGCATCATTACACCAGTCTTCAGTGTCACAATATCCTTCAGAAATCAGTATAATATGCTGATTTGCTGCTCAAGAAACATTTATTATTATTATCAATGTTAAAAACAGTTGTGCTGATTGTTTTTTTTTCTTCCTGAAATTCTTTGAACAGAAAATAGAAAACAGCATCTGAAGTAGAAAACTTTACATTATAAATGTCTGTACTATTTATTTTGATCAATTTAATGCATACTTGCTGAATATATATATATATATATAATGCTTCCATGTAGAGATTTACCTTGCTCTTGTATTTGAACTCTGAGTGCTCCTGTCATTATATGTCCTTTTCTTGGGTCGATTCAGTGATACCTCAGGATAGAGGAGGAAAATAATTGCTGACACTGAGAGATTGTTCCTTGAATGCTGCTTCAATATGCCTTGAGCTGTGACTGTGATTGCTCCTGCTGACACACAACCTGCAGCGTGTCTCAACAAGAGAGGGTGCTTTCAGCAAACTAAGTTTTTGTTTGCAGCTTAGAGCTTGTTTTGTGAAACCTGTGTGACAATATTGATCTCAGAAAACAACCGGTGGCCTTTTATGCAACCTCTCAGATGTCCGATAACCCTGAAGGTCACTAATGGGCTAGAAGTCATTATAGTTTGAAGAATTATGCATTCCTAGATATGCCATAAGAATGTCATAACTATTAACAGCAGGCTAGAGATCAGTTGTCGAACATTATACGTAGTTTTCCCTCTCTCTCGTTCTATTTTCAGAGCGAGGTGTGTGTCTGCCGACTGTTTCTCTCTGGATTCTCTTCGTCTACATCGAAGCAGCCATCCGATTCAAGGATTTGAAACATTTTCATGTAGACCTTTGCCGTCCATTCGCAGCTCACTGGTAAGCTTTTCTCGCATTTTACTCGCCCTCATGTCATTCCAAACATGTATGATCTACTTTCTGTTATAGAACAAAAGAGGAGAAATTCTGAAGTATGTTCATGTTGCTCTTTTCCAATCAATAAAAAAAGCATGAACTTTCTTCACAATGTATCCTTCTGAGTTCCTTGTAAGAAGGAAAGTCATAAAGGCTTGCATGATTTTGGGTGAAATATCTCTTAAAGCACAAAGTCACACCACATTATGCTTCACAAATTTTTGATTCTTAAACATAGCTGATGTAACTGTACTACTTATAACGCAAAGTCAACTTTGTATTTGTAAACACACTGGTGGCGTCTCCATAGCAGCACATGGGAGTGTTGCCATTATCTGAAGGTGACTGATGTTGAGTCATCACTAGTTGTACCATTCATGCTTTTTTTTCTGTTTTCTGTAACATGTTGTTCTAACCCTTTCATTGCAGCATTGGCTATCCCGTGGTGACGCTGGGCTTCGGATTCAAGAGTTATGTGAGCTATAAGATACGTCTGCGAAAACAAAAGGAGGTGCAGAAGGAAAATGAGTTCTACATGCAGCTCCTACAGCAGGCCCTGCCTCCAGAACAACAGATGCTTCAGAGACAGGAACGAGAGACAGAGGAGGGTAAGATCACTGTTTGACCGGTTTGATAATACGGTCACATCTTCTTCATTTGATTAAGAAGACAAAACTATGACAACAAAGACAAAAAAAATCATCCATGATGTATATATGAATTTTGAATTGAATAATTAAAAATTTTACACTACCGTTCAAAAGTTTGAGGTCAGTAAGATTTGTTTCAAAAAGATTATTTATTTTTTATTTTTTTTACTGAGCAAGGGTGCATTAAATGTTTAAGTGACAGAAATGAAATGTATAATGTTACAAAAAAATATTAATTTCAAATAAATGCTGTTCTTTTAAACGTTCTATTCATCAAATAATCCTGAAAAAATGTATAGTTCTTACAGAACTATATAATAAAACAGTTTTCAGCATACTACAATATAATAATAAAAAAAATGGTTCTTGAGCAGCAAATCAGCATGTTAGAATGATTTATGACGGATCATGTGACACCGAAGACTGGATTAATTATGCAGAAAATTCAGCTTTGCATCACAGGAAGATATTATATATTCAAATAGAAAACGTTTTTTTATTGTAATAATATTTCACAATATTACGTTTTTTTTTACTGTATTTTTGATCAAATAAATGCAGCTTTGGTGAGCATAAGAGACTTCTTTCAAAAACAAAACACAAATATCTTAACTTCATTCTAAACTTTGAACAGTAGTGTATATTTTTAGTAGTATATTTGATCTATTATGTGAAACAGTACAATAAATAATACTATATTTATTGCATTATTGATTCAACAATTGGAAACCAGTTGTCATAAACATGGTTATTTTGCAGTTTTATTAAACATTTTTTATAATTTTTGGCAGCCCAATCAAAGAGATGGTAAAAATCCTAGTTCATTCATAACACTGGGAATGAAAGGGTCAACTTTAGAGCATTGCAATGTAGGAAACAATACTCAGTGAGTGGGTTTTAGATGTATACCAGAAATTGTACCTAATGGTATCTAGGTATTCCATGCATACAGAAGATTTTCATATTGTGCACATTAAACATCCTGCAAAAATAATATCAGTCATATGGTTGTACTACATAACCTATTCATTTGCATGATGCTTTCCGACTTGTTTCATTTGTAGTCCTACCAGTCAGACAGCATTGCCTTGTAACCTTAAAATCTCCTTCATTTGGCAGCCACCTCAAAAGGCATGTTTGAAGCAGACTCGTTGATAGTGGCTCAGAACGGCACTGCTATTACCAAGAAACTGCCTGTCGCTCTGCCTGAACTGGAGTACAAGGAGAAGGGCAAAGACGGGGGGAAAGACAAAAAACAGCAGCAGCAGCACAGCATAGGAATAAACAACAACATCCTACAGACTGTAGATGCTAAACTACAAGACATTGAGTATATGGAGAACCACCTAAACACTAAGAGACTCAACAACGAGCTTGGCAGCAGTGCCGAGAACCTGTTCCAGAGAGAGGAGGTGGGCGGTGGAGGTGGAGGCGGAGGCTCTGCCACCTCCAAACATTACAAAAACTCCTCCCTCCATAGCCACAACTCCACCAATGGCAGCGTACCATCCTCCTCGTCCAGTAGGAGTGAAAAGAAGCAGAAGTGTGCAGGGAAGAACCTTGCACCTCACAGAGATCTGATGGAGAACTGTATACCTAACAACCAGCTCAGTAAGCCAGAAGCATTAGTGCGGTAAGACACCTACTGTGGTCTGATTCAGCCATTGGTGTGCATTCGTCCCGTTTATTCCCTTTTTTTCTGTTTGGCAGCCTTGAGCAGGATATAAAGAAGTTAAAGGCTGACCTGCAGGCAAGCAGACAGGTGGAGCAAGACCTGCGCAGTCAGATCAGCTCCCTGAGCAGTGCTGAGAGGAGCATGCGCTCTGAGCTCGGCCAGCTCCGCCAGGAAAACGAGGGTTCTTGAGCAGCAAATCAGCATGTTAGAATGATTTATGACGGATCATGTGACACCGAAGACTGGATTAATTATGCAGAAAATTCAGCTTTGCATCACAGGAAGATATTATATATTCAAATAGAAAACGTTTTTTTATTGTAATAATATTTCACAATATTACGTTTTTTTTTACTGTATTTTTGATCAAATAAATGCAGCTTTGGTGAGCATAAGAGACTTCTTTCAAAAACAAAACACAAATATCTTAACTTCATTCTAAACTTTGAACAGTAGTGTATATTTTTAGTAGTATATTTGATCTATTATGTGAAACAGTACAATAAATAATACTATATTTATTGCATTATTGATTCAACAATTGGAAACCAGTTGTCATAAACATGGTTATTTTGCAGTTTTATTAAACATTTTTTATAATTTTTGGCAGCCCAATCAAAGAGATGGTAAAAATCCTAGTTCATTCATAACACTGGGAATGAAAGGGTCAACTTTAGAGCATTGCAATGTAGGAAACAATACTCAGTGAGTGGGTTTTAGATGTATACCAGAAATTGTACCTAATGGTATCTAGGTATTCCATGCATACAGAAGATTTTCATATTGTGCACATTAAACATCCTGCAAAAATAATATCAGTCATATGGTTGTACTACATAACCTATTCATTTGCATGATGCTTTCCGACTTGTTTCATTTGTAGTCCTACCAGTCAGACAGCATTGCCTTGTAACCTTAAAATCTCCTTCATTTGGCAGCCACCTCAAAAGGCATGTTTGAAGCAGACTCGTTGATAGTGGCTCAGAACGGCACTGCTATTACCAAGAAACTGCCTGTCGCTCTGCCTGAACTGGAGTACAAGGAGAAGGGCAAAGACGGGGGGAAAGACAAAAAACAGCAGCAGCAGCACAGCATAGGAATAAACAACAACATCCTACAGACTGTAGATGCTAAACTACAAGACATTGAGTATATGGAGAACCACCTAAACACTAAGAGACTCAACAACGAGCTTGGCAGCAGTGCCGAGAACCTGTTCCAGAGAGAGGAGGTGGGCGGTGGAGGTGGAGGCGGAGGCTCTGCCACCTCCAAACATTACAAAAACTCCTCCCTCCATAGCCACAACTCCACCAATGGCAGCGTACCATCCTCCTCGTCCAGTAGGAGTGAAAAGAAGCAGAAGTGTGCAGGGAAGAACCTTGCACCTCACAGAGATCTGATGGAGAACTGTATACCTAACAACCAGCTCAGTAAGCCAGAAGCATTAGTGCGGTAAGACTCCTACTGTGGTCTGATTCAGCCATTGGTGTGCATTCGTCCCGTTTATTCCCTTTTTCTCTGTTTGGCAGCCTTGAGCAGGATATAAAGAAGTTAAAGGCTGACCTGCAGGCAAGCAGACAGGTGGAGCAAGACCTGCGCAGTCAGATCAGCTCCCTGAGCAGTGCTGAGAGGAGCATGCGCTCTGAGCTCGGCCAGCTCCGCCAGGAAAACGAGTTGCTGCAGAACAAGTGAGAAATCACCTGTTTGAAGCATAATAAAAGTGGTTGCCAATATGTGCCAAAACACATTTTAAATGAGACTCTAACTCTGATTAAGTGTGGACCACAAGACAGGTGGTGTTTTTATTAAAGGTGAATACTAGTGTCAGTTATTTGAATATGTAAGACTAAAAATTCATCATTGATATCACAAATCATTGTGATTGGTCAGTCCTAATCAGCGCTGAGAAAAGTAACAGGTTGCAGGTAGACAATCATTTACACCTGCATAAAGACCATTCAACTAAAAATACACTGTGAAATATTGATATCACAAATCATTGTGATTGGTCAGTCCTAATCAGCGCTGAGAAAAGTAACAGGTTGTAGGTAGACAATCATTTACACCTGCATAAAGACCATTCAACTAAAAATGCACTGTGAAAATTTTTTATAGTTATTTAGACCAGTGTTGTAGGGGTGGGCGATATGACCAAACCTTTTATATCGCGATATGATACATTTTATTTCATGATAATGATATATTTCACAATATTGTTATTTTTGCTTTAAGTAAGGTTTTTATGATATCAACATTTTTGATACCATTTGAAATTTCATAATTCTCATAATCAATTTCAGTTGCACAAAACTAATGCTAGCCTAGCTAACATAAGTAAAAAAAAAAACTCAAGCTTTCTGAAGACAAGCAAACAGTCAGTGATAATATAAGAGCAAAGAAACTTATTACAAACAATAGGACAAAAAGCTACATTAGAACAAAGACACAAATGAACATGTGAAAAACCTCAAGCGCTAGAAATAAGAAATACTACTTAAATTGAATGTTATGTACAAAACACTACATAGACTTGTACGTAGATTTATTCCTACAAAAGTGATTCAGTTGAGAGCAGCGAGATATTTTCTCTTTTGTTGTTTGATTACCATTAATAATATAATTACAGAATCAAGTTTCCATCTAAAATTTGTTTTACAGATTTATTTTTTATTTTCGTTTTCAAATTATTTGTCTAATATTATATACAATATATTTAATTTCAGCAATTGTTATGCAGGTGTTTTTGCTATTTTTAAATTTGGTCAACAAATCAATATGACCACTGAAAATAACAACAGCACATTGCAAAATTACTAACATTTCAATAAAAACTGAAAATATAGAAATAGAAGCTCATTCAGAATATTAATAAATACTATAACAGTATAAAAATAATATTAAAATGACACCGATTTAGACCCATGGTAACTGACCAGTTAGATAATTTATTATTATTATTTTTTTTTACCAGTAAATCCCATCAGTAATCATGTTTAATAATATGTGACCCTGAACCACAAATCCAGTCTTAAGTGTCAATTTTTCGAAATTGAGATTTATACATAATCTGAAAGCGGAATACATAAGCTTTCCATTGTTGTACGGCTTGTTAGGATATGACAATATTTGGCCGAGATACAACTATTTGAAAATCTAAAGCCTTTAAAGTTGTCCAAATAAAGTCCTTAGCAATTCATATTACTAATCAAAAACGAAGTTTTGATTTAATTGTGGTAGGAGATTTACTAAATATCTTCATGGAACATGATTGTTACTTAATATCCTTATGATTTTTGGCATAAAAGAAAAATTGATTATTTTGACCCATACAATGTACTTTTGTCACCTCTCATACATTAAAATCTCAAGCTCAAAGTAAAAAAAAAAAATAATGTCTGTTTCCAAGGTCCCCAATTGTATGCTAATCACTACAATTGTTAATCATTAGTAGAGTACTAGCTAATTATTTTCTTGTGGGAACACCTGCCTATGTATCATCAGATGCACATTTCCATCTCTCTGCAGTTGTTTATGCCAGTGTTGATTATGTTTGTCTCTGTCTTAGGCTTCATAACGCTGTGCAGGCCAAGCAGAAGGACAAGCAAACGATTGTGCAGCTGGAGAAGCGGCTCAAGGCAGAACAGGAAGCGCGAGCTGCAGTGGAAAAGCAACTTGCAGAAGAGAAGAAAAGAAAGAAGATGGAAGAGGCCACAGCTGCACGTGCTGTCGCTCTGGCGGCTGCCTCCAGGTGAGACTTAGACGAATAGTTCTCCCAAAAATATGGTCTCAACCCCGTATTCTGTGGAATAGACTTAACGTGGTTATTTGGTGCTGTGTGTGTTTGTGCATCTTGTTTTTGTTATGTCTTTGTGCTGGTGGGCTTGACTCTGGCCTCCCTTCACAGAGGAGAGTGCACAGACTCACTGAGGAGTCGCATGCGTGAGTTGGAGTCGGAGTGCAAGAAGCTCACACATGACATGAAGCTAAAGGAGGAACAAATCAGAGAGCTCGAGCTCAAAGCGCAAGTAAGCCAGAACTCCTGCTGACATGCTGCTTTAATATGCTTTTTAGCAATATTATATAGCAATATTTAGAATAAAGCATTCAGGGAGGGATGGCCTTTGTGAGGCACAGAATAAAAAAAAAAATACTGATTTACTTCCTTTACTGATTTTTGTTTTGTTTTGTTTTGGTGTTAGTGTGCACTATTTATCAGTGCCCAATTAATCCAAAGAAATAATGTCTGTCTTTGTAATTTTTCATAAAAAAAAATAATGTCTGTTTCCAAGGTCCCCAATTGTATGCTAATCACTACAATTGTTAATCATTAGTAGAGTACTAGCTAATTATTTTCTTGTGGGAACACCTGCCTATGTATCATCAGATGCACATTTCCATCTCTCTGCAGTTGTTTATGCCAGTGTTGATTATGTTTGTCTCTGTCTTAGGCTTCATAACGCTGTGCAGGCCAAGCAGAAGGACAAGCAAACGATTGTGCAGCTGGAGAAGCGGCTCAAGGCAGAACAGGAAGCGCGAGCTGCAGTGGAAAAGCAACTTGCAGAAGAGAAGAAAAGAAAGAAGATGGAAGAGGCCACAGCTGCACGTGCTGTCGCTCTGGCGGCTGCCTCCAGGTGAGACTTAGACGAATAGTTCTCCCAAAAATATGGTCTCAACCCCGTATTCTGTGGAATAGACTTAACGTGGTTATTTGGTGCTGTGTGTGTTTGTGCATCTTGTTTTTGTTATGTCTTTGTGCTGGTGGGCTTGACTCTGGCCTCCCTTCACAGAGGAGAGTGCACAGACTCACTGAGGAGTCGCATGCGTGAGTTGGAGTCGGAGTGCAAGAAGCTCACACATGACATGAAGCTAAAGGAGGAACAAATCAGAGAGCTCGAGCTCAAAGCGCAAGTAAGCCAGAACTCCTGCTGACATGCTGCTTTAATATGCTTTTTAGCAATATTATTTAGCAATATTTAGAATAAAGCATTCAGGGAGGGATGGCCTTTGTGAGGCACAGAATTAAAAAAAATTACTGATTTACTTCCTTTACTGATTTTTGTTTTGTTTTGTTTTGGTGTTAGTGTGCACTATTTATCAGTGCCCAATTAATCCAAAGAAATAATGTCTGTCTTTGTAATTTTTCATCAAATATAACTTGTTCCACTGCTGGACCAACTTTCTTGTTCAGCTGATGTTGTCTAGGCCTCGAAGGCTTCTGGATAATGTTAACTCAATAACCAAATAACTGTTTAACTGATTTAGTGATGCAAAAATAGTGTCATGAAAATACACCACCATTCCAAAAGATTAGGGTCAGTAAGTTTTTATTTTTATTTTTTTTAAATGATTATGAGTTACAATAAGTCTCTTCTACTCATCAAGGCTGCATTTGTTTGATCAGAAATGCCAAAAAAACAGGATTATTGTGAAATATTACAATTTAAAAATACTGTTCTGTGTTAATAGATTTTAACATGTAACTTATTCTGATGGCAAAGTTGAATTTTCAGCATCATTACTCCAGTTTTCAGTGTCACATGATCCTTCAGAAATCAATAATATCCTGATTTGCTGCTCAGGAAACATTTCTTATTAACATGTTGAAAACCGTTTCACTGCTTAATGTTTTTGTGGAAACCTTGATAAATTTTTTCAGGATTTTATGATTAATAGAAAGTTCAAAAGAACAGTATTTATTTGAAATGGAAATCTTTTGTAACATTATAAATGCCTGTTGAGTGCTTCTAAGTATTTTAATACAACCTTGCTGAATAAACTTAGTATAATACTTTCGTGTATATATATATTTTTTTTTCTGTGTACTTAAAATGTTTAAGACTTGAGTTGGTACTGATTCGTTATTCATTTAAAAATATAAAAAATATATACACTTTGCAAGGTTTTTGGGGTTTTTTTTTTTAGCGACATTTGGCCTGATTCCTGGGACAAAGTGTTTATCCTCTTCACAACTGGCTGCAAATTCTCGTTCAAGTCTGGAAGCAGCTTCATACATTTCAGATGGATAAAATCTATCCCTGAGATTAATTTACCTCTTTATTTATTTTTGTCAAGATATTCTGTTTCACTCAGCAATTCATCAAATTCTAGATGTAACGTAAGTTGTGAATTGCGTTTCATATTGACTGAAACATACCTTCATATACTTAACTCTATGTGCAGGAGTTACGCAAATATAAGGAGAACGAAAAGGACACAGAGGTTCTGATGTCAGCGCTGTCGGCCATGCAGGACAAGACCCAGCACCTAGAGAACAGTCTGAGTGCTGAGACCAGAATCAAACTGGATCTCTTTTCAGCACTCGGAGATGCCAAGAGACAGCTAGAGATTGCTCAAGGTCTGCCCCCTTCCGGTCTTAATATATCTCTTAGGCTTTTCTGCTTCCGCTCACTACCCTATTCTCTATTTGTCCTGCACACAGGTCAGATTTTGCAGAAGGAGCAGGAAATAAAAGAGTTGAAGCAGAAGATCGCAGAGGTCATGGCAGTCATGCCCAGCATCACCTACTCGGCAGAGACCAACAGCATGACCCCTGTGACCCCACATTACTCCTCCAAGTTCATGGACACCAGTCCTTCCAGCTTGGACCCCAATGCCTCCATCTACCAGCCGCTCAAGAAGTGAATGTCCAATCACATCGTCCACTTTGCTCTTTGATAGTTCAGTATGCAAAGCAATGGGATGGGGTAGTATTTTTGTTTGATTTACCCTTCCTCTGTTAGTATGGCTCTTCTTTGTTGTTGATAAAAAATAAGTGGAGGAATAGAGAGGGAAAAAAATTCGAAAAAGGGATGTCTCATTGACCAGAACTGCCCTCCTTGTGTTTAAGGTTACTTTTGAAGCTCTTACACCTAAAATCTTTTCTTGGTAACGGCACTTTAGCCTGTTGTGGTTCTTTTGTCGTCCTCCATACGTTTTGTATGGAGGTCTTTATGAAGATCTTTCTTGATTTTATTTAGCACCTCCTCATCTATGTGTTGAATCTGAACAGTTTTATGTGGCAGAAAAGGTGGCATGACTTCTTTTACTCTCCTGGTATAAGCGTACCATCTTTAAGTTAATCGAATGTAATAGGGAAAACGTATTGAGATGAGACCGAAGTATTTGTGATGGAAAAACATTGTGTTTGTTGCAATGGAGTGATTAAGAATGCATTTCAGTTGAAGTATGACCATAGTATTGTACATCTCTGTTTTTCAAGGGAGGCAAAAAGCATTTCATTACAGATGTTGGATCTGAAATTGGAAATATTTTAGGTTTCTGTTCCTCCCGTTGCTGTTTTCTAAGAAGTCGAAGACTTGGGGGAAAAAAAAACCCATGTATTTAAAAAGGGACTGATGTTCACATTGTATTTGTTGACAAAAATGCTGCATAAATATTCGGGAATGTTGTCGTATTTTGCAGTCAATGCAAGTCCTTTTTGTTACTGGACAAAATTGAAATAGAATTTAGTTGAAACCAGTTGAAAAGCTGAACATATGATGTCTTGTTTGCCAGTTGTTATGTTACACAGTGCCTTGAAATATCTTGTTTAATATATTGTCACACACTTCCCATGCCATATTCGCCCATGCCTAGAATCCATTTGATTGGTCAGCACAGCACATGACCCGATTATTTTTTTTTATTAAAAATCATCTGCCGTCTTGTTGCCATGTGTTTTGTCGGGGGGAAAAACATACCAGTAACAGCTAAGCCCACTCTAATCCACTAGATATTATTTGTCTGCTGTTTTTGTCATGTCTCTACATTACATTTACATTAACATGCTCATTGCATTTTATAATACTTGCTGAATGCTTTGATTTTGGTAAAATGTGCCAATATTTCTTTGAGGATAATGCAAACCATGCGTCATTTCATAGCGACTTCATTCAGTGACTGGGATAACACCTAAAAATCAATCCATTAACGAGTTCTCCTTCACACTTCTTCTTCAGTGGTTTAAGGTTTGTGTCATGATGCAGGCAGAATATGCTTGTTTGGTTTAGTCCTTGTTTAACAAGGCTTTCTTTTTTATTTGTCTACCTTGGGAAAGTATTACTGTGGATTGCATTTGGTGTTTTTATGGTAAACTTTGTGGAGAGTAAAGAACACACCTTTGTTTCTCATTGTTTTTTTAGTTTTTTAACAAAGCTAAATGTTGAGGTTATGTGTTTGTACAGGGGTGTAAAGTACCTCAGTACTGTACTTGCTTTGGAGAATTTGCACTTCATTCAAATGCTATTGAAATTGAATACTTTACAATTACATTTACAAGGGGGGGATGATTTTTACTCCTTTCAGTTTCATTTCGCATTCCAAATACGTAATAAGTGATAACTTATATCTTATTGTTTTATCCTTTCTACACTTCTGCCAATGCTATGAATATTTACAGCAGTCAAAGAAATCAATTTTAATGTAGGATTTAATTGGCTACAAATCTGTGAAATCCTTGTGAAAAGACAGCAGGGTTATTATCAACAAAAACCATAAAATAAATAAACATTTCCTTACATAATAGAACAATTTTTTTTAAATATTTTGTTTCAGCTAGTTGCTAAGGCAGCATTTCTGATTTTAGTTTAGTTTAAGTTGAAGTACTAAAATAACTCAAACTAAAATGTAATAATAAACTATATAGACAAATAAAAAAATGGACAAACCCATCCAAATTACAAAAAAATAAGAATTAAATGTAATTAAAAGTACTATAACAATGCCTTAGAAAATGTTTAGCACACTGATTATTATTCTTATGCAAGTTACAAAAAAAAAAAAAAACATTGAAATGCTATAAAGTACATGAAATGAAGAAATCATTTATATTTTTTGCCTCCTCAATCAATAACTAGTATTTCTGTTTGTTTCCAAGTCTCAGTTTATTAAAAAGCCAAAACGGCCAGCTTTGTCATAATGGCCTTATATTGAGAGACCTTCAAATATCTTATATCTCAACATTTCTGAAATATCTCACCTTATTTTGAGGGGCCTTCGAATTGTGTTGTGTTTTTATAGCCGTAGTGGAACATAGTTGATTTGATTTTATGATTTCATCGAAACAAGCCCGAGTCTCAATAGAGGACCATTTCTTCTACAGCCGCACGAGGGCGACAAAGATGAGCTCAACAGATTCCACTATGCTCGTGTCACTGGTTTTTCCTGGGAAACACGGACGGGGTCCTGAACCTTATGAATGTTGACTCCTCGGGCATTATAGGGAGGAATGGACACATTACGGCGCACATACCAGGTTCCTTCATACAAACCCGCTGTCTGTTAAGACGCTGTTTGATATTCGCGCGCCATTTCAAAAAGCACACATCGGAGGCTTCCAATGGATCGTTTGACGCCGTTGCCTAGAAACAGAATCTTTGCGCCGCGTACCTCGAACGTCATTTTGATTGACGGGACGAAACGCCGCCCAGGAGACGCGGAGGCTCAAGTATTCCCGCAGATGTCGGCCACAACAAAGTTGAGAGAGTGAGAAGACGTAGTTCATGGCCAACAGCAGCACCTGAAGCCGCTTCTCCGCTCAGAAACCTCGCCATGGATGTGCTCAAATCAGCCAGGAGGGCTTTTATTCGCAGTCCCAGCCTGACCAAACAGTCCCGGAGCTCAGGCAAACACCAGAGTGAGTATTTGTGTCAACAGCGAGACTTTAGTTTGGCGTGCTGTCGATCCGGTAGCGTTAGTCAGGTTTAGTAACGCACTCAGAAGATGGCGTTTTCCCTAATAACGTTAGTTGTGAAGCTTTATTAGTAAGTTTGTGGGTAAAATGTGTTTTTTAACTGGATCTTGATTATAATTTATACAAATTCTCTGCAAAAGTAGTTTAATGGAAGACACCGGTGAGTGTTTCCATCTGTCGACGAGCTTCACAATCTTCGTGAGATACTAGATGTTTTGGGGTTCATCAATAGTTGAGCTACCCAGTAATGTCCAAAAACGCTGTCTACATTTTGAGAAATGGCTTTGCCGCCTGTTTTCATCAGCCCTCAAAACTCCAAACATTGTATTTTTGCAAGCTTTTTTTTTTTGTTAAGTTATTTTTAGTTTGATTTTTTTTGGGGGGGGGACGTTGCAATATGCAAGAACATGTTTTCTTGGACCAGGAGGCTGGATGTGGTATGTATGTTCGTCTCAGAGCTGCTCTCTGACACACTAAAGATCCCGAGGTATTTCTACACCTCACTGACCTGTAATATATTCAGGAAAAGCACATGCAGAGGCCCACAGTGCGGTGGCTTTGACCTTTATACATCTTCAAGCGAGATAACTAAAATTTCAATATTTTCTGTATCTCTAAGGGCTCCTCTGACTCTCTTTAAAGTTTTAGTAGGATACATCCAAAATATTTAGGAATATTTATCTGTGCAGTATGAATTGTGTGAATCAAATACAATTTTGACCAGTGAGGCCCACTATCGATTTTTAAAATGTAACTTTGTCTCAGATTTACATGACTGCTTTAGTTTGGTGTTGGAATAATAATAATAAAAAAAAAAATTAAAGACACATTGTATTTGATCAAAATCAATATATATTTTAAAAAAAATTAGTCATTTAGCAGACACTTTTATCCAAAGCTTACAAATAAAGCAGTCAAAACTAACAAAAGAGCAACAATATATAAGTGCAAATGACAAGTCCCGGTTAGCCTAACGCAGTATATATATATATATAATATACACACACACAAAGAAAAACAAGTAGATAGAATAGAAAAAAAATAGAAAGCTAGTGTTTGTTTGTTTTTTGTTTGTTTTTTATAAATAAAAATCTAAATAAATATAGATAAAGTAGAATTAAAATAGAGTAGAAAGTGTTAGAGTTAGAGGGTCAAATGAAGGTGGAACAGATGTCTTTAGTCGTTTCTTGAAGAATATTATTTCTTGAAAATGAATGAATACAATTTAAATTCTATTTTTTTTTGTAGTTTTCTATTTTAGTATATTAAAAAATGCTTTATTCCTTTGATGGTAAAGAATTGTCAGCATCATTACTTCAGGGTCACGTGATCCTTCAGAAATCATTATAATATGCTGATTTCAAGAAACATTTATTATTAGTATCATCTTCATCAATGTTGAAAACCATTGTGCTGCTTAATATTTTTGCGTGAACCATAATGCATTTTTTTCAGGATAAATAGAAATTTGAGAAGAACAGCATTTATTTGAAATAGAAATCTTCTGAAACATTATAAGTGTCTTTACTGTCACCTTTGATCAATTTAATGCAACCTTGTTGAACAAAAAATTATTAATGACCCCGAACCTTTGAACGGTAGTGAATGTAGGTTGATATTTTGAAAACGTATCACTTATGTGTGTGTGTGTGTGTGTGTGTGTGTGTGTGTGTGTGTGTGAGAGAGAGAGAGACCCTGGACCACAAAACCAGTCATAAGGGTCAATTGCTATTGCTACAAATATACCCCAGCGACTTAAGACTGGTTTTGTGGTCCAGGGTCATATACACCCATATATATGTGTGTGTGTACTCAGTGGTGTGAGTAAACAGTTACCTAGTTGTGACAGTCCAAATGGTATATTTTCATAATCGTATTTCCAATTATTTAATAACTGTAATTGAATTGCTTTAAACAATTGTTGCAGTTTTGCTCTAGTAGGTCTTTGAAGGCCTTATAAGAATGATGAGAAGTTGCCTACAATGGTTTTGTGAAGTAAACATGATGCAAAGCCAGCAGTGTGATTTTGTCGGCATCTGAAATCTGTTACCTTCTCTTTGGCATCCATCCTGGACTAGTCTACAAGTAGGTACTTGTTTGCTGGCAGTATCTGAGCCATTCTAAGAAACATTTGTTTCAACAAAGACTTCTTCAAAGTCGCACTGGACAAGTCCATAGCAGAGCTTTGAAAGCAGGTGAAGTGGACTGGCCTGGTCTTTACAAGGGCAACTTATTTTTTCCTTTAGTGGGATCAGAAAGGTTGCTGTGCGTTTTCATTTCCCTTTTAATTCTGTCTTGACTCCACAAAAGTGCTTTGTTTGTTGGCTGAGAGCTGCTTATCTGCATGACCTGGAATACAAGAAGTCTGCATGTACACTGTTATGATTGTGTTCATAATTCAGTCACAGTGAAGGCACAGGCTTTGCCAGAATGGTAATTGTTTCCAACATCAGCAAGCTACCAGTGTTTATAGGTTGTTCTCTCAATGGGTGAGGGATGGAGAAGAAGACACAATCGTGTGTGAACCATTCTTTGGTTGAACTACTGACCTACTTTTAGCTGCAATACAGACTTCAACTCATTTGACTCCTTTTGGAGGAATGCAAACAAAGATATTTTTTATTTGACTGGGTTGCAGTTGTTCATTTTTGGATTGTGTATGTTCCCTCTTTAAACCAGTGGTTTTAAACTGATGAGTCACGACCCAAAAATGGGTGGCAGGTCTGTTCCGAGTCTGTCAGGGTCACAGTTGAGCAGTGGAAAAAAACAAAACAAAAATACAGTCGATCAATGACAAATTGTGTACATGCTAAATAAAAGGAGCAATTTAGTTTAACCAGGTTTTTAGAACTGTGATCTTTATTGTCATGTTGGTTTAGAACAGGGGTGGGCAAGTTCTTTCAGTTCAGCTCCAACCCTGAAAACAAAAATCACCTGCCTATAGCCTTAGTAATCCTGAAGACATATTGATTAGCTTGTTCAGGTGTGTTTGATTAGGGTTGGAGCTGAACTCTGCAGGACTGCGGCTCTCTAGGACCAAACTATATATATATTTGGTTTGTATCTTTTACTTCATGTTGGTTGCACCACATATCTATGATTTGATGGATGAACATTTTTCAAATATTAATATTTATATTAATATAATTATTTGCAAATTTAATCAAAAGTGAAAGTGAATAGGTTGATCAACTTTTAATTGGGAGGTTTGATAATGATTTGCGTTATAGTTCATAATTGCTTTCCTTCCTCTTGTATGTCATTAAACAAATAATAATAAATATATAAATAAATAAATGAATTAATGATTATACAATGGCATGTGTTGTAACCATAATACAAGTAAAAAATAAAAACATTTCTTACATGTGAGTGTACTACCAGACTGGGATACCGAAGGGCTGACCTTGAGAATCTGGGTGTGACAGACAGGACGTGACATGACTCTGGATGATCAGCTGTGATGCAGCGTGATTCTGGATGAATAACTGAGGCGAGATGTGACTCTGGACGAACAGTTGAGACGTGACGAGACTCTGGACGAACAGCTGAAACATGGCGAGACTCTAGAAGATCAGCTGTGACGTAATGAGGCTCTGGCAGCTCAGCTGAGGCGTGACTGGACTCATGACGATCAACTGCGACTTGACTTGACTCCTGAAGATCAGTTGTGACTTGACTTGACTCCTGAAGATCAGTTGTGACTTGAGGTATGTGTTTTTTTAACAGGTATTTACGAAGTGGTTAATTTAAGATTAACACAATAGGATGTACTTTGACTTGAATACCTGTGTTTAACAAATCTGACTAAAAGAAAAAATGTCTCGTTTGTTTTGGCTTGGTGCCTTTGTGTTGTAATTCCCAGAATTTGTCTGTGGGGATTTTCTGAATTTTAAATATTATAGCTCCACTGCCAAAAGCAATCAGGTGACTGCAGGAGCCACAGGTAGTGTTACTAGAGCCAAACAACAGAAATAATGAGAGTGTTTATTTGTGTGCATCTTAGTTAATGGATAGCTGAAACGGCTTAATGTGTTGTAATCAGATTGGGAAATTATGCAGATTGTGAAGGCAGAAGTGTTGTAGGTTCATATTTACATTTTATATAATTAACACATTCCTGGCATCAACATTACAACTAAAAGATTCTCAGAACTGAGTATTCAAAACACATGCTAAGCTAATACAGTATATATGTATGTGTATTAGTCAACCTAACCAAATTATTCATCCCAAAGATGTGCAGTTGGCTAAGCTAGACTTTCATGTTTTCACATTGTTTTTAGTGAAGATGATTTGAGAAAAGACCCTTCAGGATAGAAATTGAAAAAAAAAAAAAAAAAGATGGCAGAAACACTGGTTCAAGAAAGACGCATTTAATTTCTTGAACTTACCATCTCTTACAGCTGCTCCAGACCTTTGACTGTTTTCAGTCAGCCCTGGAAATAAGGATGTACAGAGGCATCCAAAATGTTTTTTGGCCTAGAATATTTGAGTCTTTAGAGCAAAGGTTGATTCCAAGAAATATTTGCTCATGCAGTGTTTTTTTCTTTTTCTTTTAATATTTTATAACCGTTTATGACTTCTACAGCACAAGTCTTTGGTGTGCACTTTGAAGCTGTTTACAGTTTGTCTTTGCTGACTTGGTTCTTTTTTTTTTTTTTGTAGCTGTTTAGTGTTACCTCCATAAACTATTCACTTCATTCGTCTTTTCTCCCTTTGGTCCAGAGCTCCCTGAGAACTGGACTGACACGAGAGAGACTCTTGTGGAGGGAATGACCTTTAACCTTCGGCATCTGGGCATGACTCTGGTGGACCAACCCAAAGGCGAGGAGCTCTCAGCTGCTGCTGTCAAGAGGATTGTTGCCACGGTGAGTTCTGTCATTTGACATATAGCTCGGATATGAAGATATATCAGTGAGACCCCTAAAACCACCCTAGCAACCACATAGCAACACAATAAATCACACAAAACACCTTAGA